TGTGTAGGGACTTCTTTTGCTCAACATCATGTCTGTGAGATTTATCCATTGTTACATCTAGCAATATTTTCACTCATACTCATTGCTGTATACTAGTATTCTACTGTTTGATGATACCACAACTTACGTATCCATTCTACTGTGCACAGACATTTAGGTGGATTCCAGTTTGGGGCTATTATGAACAGTGCAATTAGAAACATTGTGCACACATCTTGGTAGACATAAGCTCTTGTTTCTGTCCTGTACATGCCCACAAGTGAAATTGCTGTGTCTTAGGTTGGCATGTGTTCAGCTTTAGTAGATACTGCCAATTTTACAACATGGTGTTTTTTTGTTTCTTTTTTTAATTGATGTCATAATAGTTTATAATACAACAGGGTTTTACCAACTTACATTCTGCCCAGAGTTAGTTTCAGTTGCTCTATATTTTTGTCAACACTTAATTTTGTCAGACGCTTTCATTTTAACCTTTCTGGTGGATGTCTTTGTAAATTTTTTTTTTTTAATGTAGTAATTGTTGCTATTTTTTCTTTAATTTTATTTATTTATTTTTTTCCCCCAAAGCCCCAGTAGATAGTTGTACGTCATAGCTGCACATCCTCCTAGTTGCTGTATGTGCAGCTTCAGCATGGCCGGAGAAGCGGTGCGTCAGTGCGTGCCTGGGATCCGAACCCAGGCTGCCAGCAGCGGAGCACGCGCACTTAACCGCTAAGCCACGGGGCCGGCCCTCTTTGTAAATTTATACTTAGTATTTTTCTTATTCCCTATAGGCTCTAAGTGTTACTGTTTTTTTGGATTTGGTTGTTATAATTATTAAGAGTATATAACTGATCAAAATAACACTTGTCCTTCTCCCCCACCCTCATTCATGCTTCTGGAACACTCCTTTAGACCACTCACAATTGTATTGGAGCCAATGGAAGGGAGCTCTTGGGGTGGAGTCTTTGCTTTATTATTCTGTCTTTCCAAGGCCTATCCCAGTACTCTGCACACAGTAGGTGCAAAATAAATATTTGTTGTATAAATACATGAAAGACTGATATGAAAGCCTATTTGTCTCTGCCACACTTGGTGGGCCATCCTCAGCCACTGGAGGGTACGCAGGTGTCTTACTCATTTTAGGCCTTAGACTTGGCACAGGAGAACCTTTAATAAACAATGTCTGCTAAACCAAACTGGCCTCTGGAGGCCTGGCATTTTAGGCTTGTGCCACACAGCCTCAGGCCATTGAGCCTGGGCACACACAGGATGATGATAGTCATATTGTTACAACATCCCTGAGACTATATTAATTATATATTGCACATTATCACACTATTATAGCAGGTGGCAGATCTTGGCACACTGGGCAGAGATGTGTTGGTGTGAAATCTCACTGTAAATGGGGTCCCAGGGTCTGGACACCCAGTTAGCTGTGGGTCATGGGCATACAGAGCATTCAGCTCTGGGACTCAGAGGTCAGAGTTTTCCCTTGCATTGTCTGCTCTGGTCCTTCCTCCCTCCCAGTCTTGCAGACCAGCTGTTAATTGGGTCATAATGGTTCCCCTTTCATAGGGTCCTTGTGAGGATTAAATGAGTAAATATATGTAAAGTGATTAGCCCAGCGCCTGGCACACAGCAAAGTATGGGGTAAATGGTAGTAGTCCTCATTGCTGCTGTTAACAGCAGCAGCAGCAGGAGTGAAGAATGCTGGGTGACCATGTCCAGCACCAGGTGTGACCCTCAGGGCCCTGGGTTACAGGGAAAAGAACAGAAAGGTGAGCATAGGGGGAGCATGTGATTTTCATCCATGGAGAGCTATCTTCCAGCACAGGGACCCTGGACGCTACTTTCCCTGGAGGTGGGGGTGGGGGTGGTTCCTTGGCCATCAGCTTCTTGATAGTTCATTGGTGGAAGGCAAGGGATCTCAAGGCCTGAACAACTCCATTCCTAGGAGACTCCTGCAAGAGCAGGAGACATGCTGTGGAGTTTGCATCTGGCCCAGAATGGGAATTTCTGTCTGCTAGAAGGGCTCTGTCAGAGCCTAGAGGAGGCCTCAGGTGCAGCGTGGCAAACTGCCACTGGACACACCCATCAGTTGTCACCTGGGACAGGGGAGTAGCCAGACCCTCCAAGGAGCTTGTCAATGGAGGAACCCCTCTGGTCCCCTCCTCCTAAGAGGGGGATCCAGTGTTGTTCACACTTGGAATTGGTTCAAGAGGGATGTCACCCACAGAGGCCAAGAAACCAAGAGGGGAATGCCTCATTGTTACCTAAAGCTGCCTTGGGAGAAAGGGGCTTTGCCACAAAATCCTCCTGACTCAAGTCTGTCCCTTTGCTTTCTGAACCCTTCACCCTCTGACTTATGAAAGGAACCTGTACGGAAAAAGGGGAATTGGGCAGGGATGAACAAGACTAGCCGTAAGTCCATAATTACTGAAGCCAGGTGATAAGCACATAGGGGGTTATTATTCTATTTTCTCTATTTTTGTGTGTATTTGAAAATTTTCCATAATAAAAGATGTTTCTTAAAAGAAGCTATGAATAATTCAAGACCTGAAAGGGTAAAGGGCATCTTTCTGATCTTTGATTAGAAATTCCCCTAAATCCTATTAAATCTGAGAGCAAGGGAAATAAGGTGAGAGTCTGGCTTCAGTAGGTCATCAAGCAGGATCCGCAGGGGTTTCCCAGGGTGAGAGAAGCAGTAGTGGCTCTTGGGCTTCGAGGGAAATGTTTCAGCAGGAGAGAGAAGGTGGAGAGGGATTTATATGCAGGTACCTTGGCTACTGGTGAGTCTGCCCTACTGCTTAGGATGGCCCTGGGCCCTTTGGCCCCACCTCAGCCTTTACCCCCAGGTGAAGTGTGCTTTCCTAAGTCTCCAAGTATAGGTGGCTGGGCCCACCACTGGGGGTAGAGGTCCTCCCTCCCTTCCATCGGGTTCTGGCCTCCACATCATCCGGGCCATGGCAGTGAGGGTAATCTGCCTGGGTTTCCCTCCTACACCCACCCTCCTGCAGCTGAAAGCCACACTCCAAACCCAGGACTCCTGAGATCTGACACATCTTATCAACTACCCCAAGCTCTCTGCTGGCCACAGGCCTCAATACACTAGCTAATTCCCAATCCTGCTTCAAGTTGTCATTTTAGAGGCCTTCGGATTGACAACAGCCAAAATAGGGATGCTGTTCAATGCAGGCCAAGTCAGGGCTTCTGGGCAGCATAATTTGAGAAGTGCCAGGGGCCGGCCCCGTGGCATAGCAGTTAAGTGCGTGCGCTTCGCTGCTGGCGACCTGGGTTTGGATCCCGGGCGCGCACCAATGTACCGCTTGTCAGGCCATGCTGTGGCAGCGTCCCATGTAAAGTAGAGGAAGATGGGCACAGATGTTAGCCCAGGGCCAGTCTTCCTCAGCAAAAAGAGGAGGATTGGCATGGATGTTAGCTCAGGGCTGATCTTCCTCACAAAAAAAAAAAAAAAAAGTGCCAGGTAGGTCCCTGAATGCTTCCTACACACCTTACCCAAAGGTATCTCCCACGTGGCTGGTCAATGTGCTTGAAATCCCATCATTTAAGTAGCATTCTTTGGGGCTACACATTGCTTTCTTGAGAAACTGTTTTTCCAAAGCTACCCCGGGAGGGGGACACATTAAAACTAATCCCTGTGCACGAATTGTTCACTGACCTGGGTACGTGGGAGGCAGGGAGGAACAGAGGGCTGGTTAAGAGCAAGGCTGATGGGCAGTGGTGCAGTCAGCTTGGGTAGGGACCACTCCTGGTTTCAGGGTGCAGGTCGTTGGGTTTGGAGTGAGGGTTGAAGAGAAGCTCAGAGCTAGAAGCAGAGGTCATTAGGTCGCTGAAATCCCCTAGGGCAGTGCAAAGAAAGGCTGTAGCAGCCAAAGCAGGGTGCAGAGCCCTGCAGACTGACAATGTCGGGGTTGGCCATAGCAACCTCTACCCCTGGTGTCTCCCCAGGGCTCCAGTCCCTGTCCCTTGTAGAGCCCAGAAATGGAGGTAGCTCCTGAGGCTCCTGTTCCTGCCCTTTGTCCAGCTATGACTGCCTGAAAAGAACCCACAAGGATACCCCCAATCCATCTGGCTGCTGGGGGCACCCCAGCCCCCACCCTACGCAGCTGCCCCAGTGGACATGCCTCCCTCCCCACTCCCCAACAATTCCCCAGTGCACAGGATAAACTAAGGGGCAAATATAAAAGAGGGGAGGCAGTAGGGTCTGGGTCTGCCTCTAAAAGTGCTCCAGTCCCTCCACATTTGAACAGTGATAATAATCACACGTGTCCCACCCTTAGTAAACACCAGGAACCATTCTAAGATTTATATAGATAAACTCATTTAATCCTCACAACACTAGGAATTATACATATATATAATTTTGCTATTCATCCCCATTTTACAGGTGAGAAAACTGAGGCACAGAGAGGTTAACACCTTGTCCAAGAGCACAGAGCTAGTGAGAGGCAGAGCAGGATGCAGCCTAGGCCACCCTACACTGCAGAGTCGCGCCCTTACCCACTGGGTACTCTGCCTCTTATGCCCTCATCTCTACCAGGCTGGGCAGGGGAGAGGTGGGGGAAGCATTTAGTGGCCACCCACTCTGGGCCAGGCACTTGACAAACACCCGCATGCTTCAGTCTCAGAAGAACCCAGTGAAGGATGAGCCATGATACTCACTGTCCATGTGGGGAAGCAAGACCAGAGAAGTCTGATCATCTGCCAAGGCCACCCAGCCCAGGAAGGGGTGGAGCTGAAATCCAAACCTTGGCCTGAGCTCTTTCCCACAGGTGCCCCCTTCCCAACCACCCTATGGAGCTGAAGAGAATGGAGACCAGGAGGGAGGGAAAGAGGAGATGGGGGTGAGAAGGTTGGAGAGGGCTCTGGAGGCAGTCCTCAGGCCTAGTAGCTGCCTCAGGTTTCCCAGGGGTCCACAGGAATCTCTGGACCTCCTCCCACCCTTGCCTGCCAGGGGAGGGGCACCAGAGGTGGGCACCATAACAGTTGCGTCCCTGGAGACTGGCCACCTTGCTGCTCCTGGGGCAATGGCCTTAGGCTGAGCTGCTGCAGGCTGGAGCGAGGTCCTGTGGGTCCCCACCCACACATCTGCTGTTGGCTGCAAGCGTCCAGGGCAGGATGGGGGCATTGCCGACCCCCTGTGCTCTCCAGCAGCACTTCCTGATCCATGGACTTGGGCAAACAGGGATAAAGCCTGGACGGAGGCACCTCCTCCAGGGGACAAGCACAACAACCCGGACTGCCAAGTGGGCAAGGTTTGGAGCGCACCAGGCAGCCCAGGGTCCAGAAAGCCAAGGATGGTGAGGAAGTCGCACAGGGCAGGAGCTGGGACAGAAATACTGCCTCCCAGGACTCAGTCCAGCCAGCCGTGGGTCGGCCTTCCGCCAGGCCTGCGGCCCCCTGGTTGCCCTCTGACTCAGGCCCTGCCAGCCCTGCAAAAGGGACAAGGTGGGCAGGACAGCCTGGCTCCATGGCTCAGGCTAGATGTACCGTGGGGAAGGGAGCAGACACAGGCGGAAAGGGCCCAGGGGGCTTCACTGGAGCAGGCGCCGCCGGTACAGAGCAGCCAGGAGCGCGGCTAGAAGCGCCCCGGCTGCGGCCACCCCGAGCCACCGAGCCCTAGGGACCGTCCAGTTGCACAGCGTCACCTCATCCTCCCGGAGCTGCAGGGCAGCACGCGGCCCAGGGCTGCCCTCCAGCAGGTCGGCGTTGGGGCCCTCGGCCACGTGCATCCTGATGGAGTCCACTGACCCTGACTCATACTCGTTCTCCTCTGGGGCATTGGCAGGCCTCACGCCCAAAGAGTCGCTGCAGCTGATGGCAAGGTCCTCAGAGCAGATCGACAATGGCTGGTTGTCTATCTGGGATACGAGCCTGCCGGGCTTGCTCAGCTCCAGACCTGAGCCCCAGCTGTTGGAGCTGCCTCCAGCAGCGGCTACGCCTGTGGGCGCTGGAGTCTCCTGGGAAAGAAAGGAGGGGCCAGAAGGGATTGGGGTTGGCGAGGGGGCAAACCCAGGTTGGGTGGCCCCATTCCCAGGCCAGGGCATGAACTAGCACCCCAGCCCCCCAATTCCCAGCCCATAGTGCCTGTGAGGCCACCGTCTCTTGAGGACTCAACCCACTGATGGTACAGGAGGGTGTGGGGGAGGAAGAAACCAAGGCCCCGCAGCAGCATCAGTGGTGACCTCCTCTAGGGCAGCCCTCTCTCTACTCACCGGCCTGCCTGTGAGCTCACCCCCACCCTGGGGCCCTGGTCACGTGTGGCCCCATCCTACTTGGACATTTTGCCTGGGCTTGAGGGCCGTGGAGAGGCCACGGGGTCAGAGGCCTGGCCATGCGCTCAAAGGGCCCCATGGACTTGGTTCCTCCAGGCAGACAGCAGCAGTAGGGTTAGACATGCAGGCTCAGAGGGGCAGCTGTGGGGGCTGCTGGGTCAGAGCGGCTGCTCCAGGCTGAATGGGCTGGGAGTGCAGTCTGTAAAACTCTGGTCGTGGAAGGGCAGGCATGACCTAGATATCCATGGAAGGTCATGGATACCCCGGTGATGAAGAGCAAGGCATCAAGACAGACAGGCCATCCTCCTCGACCCCTCACTGTTTCCTTATCTGCAAAATGGCATTGCTAAGCTTAACAGGGTGAGCTCTAAGTGGGGTAATGCTCGTGACTAGCAGGGATGGCCCACTATGCTGACCCTCCTGAGGCATCCACACTTAAGAGCTCCAATGATTATTATTACTCTAAAGGATGTGGTGTGGGGTCTGGAGGAGCCTGGGTCTCAGCTGTCCATATACCCTCAATAAGAAGCCCTGGACCAGCCCAGGCTGGAGACAGAAGGGAGAATGGAAAGGGTTCAAGGACAGTGCTGGGGGAAGGGGCCTGGATCACTGCTTGGAGGGGCGAGAACTCACTTCCTCAGGTCTGTGGCTGCTCCTGATGGTGGGCGCTGTATTGGCAGGCACCTTGCTGGGCATCATGCGGTCAGGCGCCAAACCAGTAGGCACTTTGGGTGGCACTGTGCCAGCACGTGTTGAGTTGATGGGCAATTTGGATGGTGTTTGACTGGTGAGCACATTAGTGGGCATTGTACCAGGGGGCTTTGAGCTGGTGGGCAACTTGGAAGGCACTGTGCTGGCAAATGCTGGCTTCGTGGGCACCTTGGAGGGTGCTGTGCTGGCGGTCATAGAGTTGGTGGGCACTCCTGCCCCACTGGAGCAGATGGTAACCTCAGCCTGGTCACCAGCATCCCCTGCAGAGGCCAAGCCAGTAGAGGAGGGGGAGGTGCCAGTAGACGGAGCTAACACTGGGGGTCCAGGCAAGCGGCTTGCCCTGGGGGTGGAACGGGCCAGAGGCTGGAAGGAGACAGTTGGAGACAGAGGCCCACGGAGTGATGTGAGGCTGGAGACCATGCCTGCAGCTGGTGAAACAGAAGGGGAAACAAACCCACCTAAAGTCACAGGCGCCCTGGGATCAGAGGGCTGGAGAAGGGTCCCTCTGCCGCAGCTCACGTCCCTCCTGCATCCAGGCCTCCCAACCTCCTACCCATGGAGGAGTCTCCACAATCCTTTTGGTCACTGATCCTAGGTCCAAAGGCTCAACGGCTGCAGACACATCCTTGGTCTCATCTATCCTCAGTCTTTGACCTGTAGCCCCGAGTCTGTTCTCTCACAAGAGTGCAATGGTCCCTCCCTAACAGTGTCTAGGAGCTTGAAGATCATTATTAATTATCCTCTCTGCTTTTTCTTCTCCTGCTGGGGACACCTCCCTTTCCTCTTGTGTCCGCCTTTTCCATCTTCTCCTGAGCCTGGTAGAATCCTGGATGCTCCTCCCACCACCACCTTTCCTCCCCCGCCACCAGCAGGAGCCATCCGGGACCAGGGCAAGGGGCAGCAGGATGGCTCAAGCAGAAGAGCTCACACCAGTCATGTGGCACCAGAGGTGGGCTTGCGGGGGATGCAGGTATAAAGCCACCCTTGGGAGGAGGGCCTGAACTGGGCGAAGCAGGAGGAAGCTGGTGGTGATAGTCCATAAAGGCAGTTATATCAGGGTTCCCCATGAAACTGTGAGAACACACGTGCCAGGCCCTACAGCTGACAAAGGCCAGGAGTGATTCTGATGTGCCTCTCATCCCAAATCTAACACCACAGAACCTCGTGGGACCTGTGTCTATGCACGTACTGAAATCGAAGTGCCCTTTGTCTCCCTGGTCCACGGCAGTATTTCCTGAAACATGTTCCATGGCAATCTGACACTGCAAAGTGCAAATGGGTGCATGGTGCAGAGTTTTGGGGTGACAGGAGAGTCAGGCACTAAGATGGCTTCTCTGAGCCTTTAACTGCTCATGTGCCTTGTGGCTGTCCCAGGGGCACTGAGGCCTGGCCAGGCACCAGTAATATTTGGAACACAGTTGGGAATTATCAGTGCAGAGAGACACCAGCCTGGGAGGTCAGAGGGAATAGCTTTATATTTCCAAGGGGGAGCACTGAGGTCTGGTATGGGGGTCCAGGCCCCTGGCTGATGAAGACCATACTTCCTCTGGGGGCTGAGAAGTTTCAGTGATTCACAGGGAGCTAGAGACCCCTTGGGATAGGATAGTGCCTACAGGCTCCCCTGCCAACAGCTGGCCCAGCCCTGTACTCTCCCTCCTGCACTGTCCTCCGGGTCCTGGTGGGTCCCTACAGAGTCCCTTCAGTAGAGTGCAGAGTGCAGAAGCGGCACTAATTCTCTATCCCTATGTGTATTCATGCCCTTCATGATGTGACTTTGTCAGTCCTCTCATCTAGGGTTGGAGTCTGTTTCCCTATGCCTCGGCTCTGGGCTGACCTTGTGACTTGCTTTGGCCCTCAGAATGAGGCAGGAGGAAGACTGTACCAGTTTTGAGCCTATGCCCCAGGAGCCCCACCCCCTCTCAGAACTCTGCTCAGCTGCCATGAAATGGGCTTGTCTGCTGCAGGATGAGAGACTCATGGAAGAGAACCAAGGTGCCCCAGCCAACAGCCACAAGCAGAGCTTATGTGTACACTGCTCTGTATACAAGGAGGAAATCAGCCAAAATCAGAACTGCCCAGCTGAGCCAGCCCAAATTGCTGACCCACAGAGTCATGAGCTAAATAAATAGTCGTATTTTAAGCTACAAAATTTTGGAAGTGTTTGTTACACAGCAAATGCTAACCAATACACCCTCTAAGGAATTGGGTTGCTCCCTGGGGTGAACTCCCTTTATTCCCACCCTTGCGTTCTAGGAGTCCAAGGAAGCCAGAGGGGCAACTCTAATCCTTACCTTCACTGGGAGGTCAGAGAGGCCCTATAACTCCAGAGTCCACACATACCTGCTGTGTGGGTACCGTCCAGTTCTGTGTCCTGCTCCTGGGGTCCACTGGAGGTCAGAGGCCTGGGGGCCGCCATGTCAGAGGAGGGCTCCAGGGGGCCACCTGGCCTCCTCAGGACAGCCCCAGAGCTGGGTATCTGTGTGGCTTTCCTTGAACTCTGCAAGAGGGAAAATGTGAATAAGGCAGTTGCTTCTCCCAGGAGCTGGCAAAGGGCAGCTTCTGCTCATGGGGCGGTTCCTACAGGCCTCAGCCCATGCCATGGTGCACATGAACCAAGGAAGCCCCTGCCTCGGCTTACATCATTGCCAGACCCTTTGTCTACAGGTGACCTTGAACCCACCTAGTAGAAAACACACACACCATCCCATGGGGAGTTCCCATCCATCTGTCTGGCCCTATAGAAAGGTCTCCCTCTCTGTGGCCACCGCACAAACACCCTTCTTGAGCTTCAAGTCCACAATTTGGTGTCTCCTGGGCACCCCACTGCCCGCTTATCATATCTAAATAGAATTGGTCATCTTTCCCCCAAACTTGACTTTATTGGCAATAACTACAGCTCTACTATCCCCCCTACCCCAGCACCTCCTGCTTCCTCACTCCCCCTCATCTGGTCATCCCTTGGTCCCTTGACCCAGCTCAACATCTCACATGATCATTGCAAAGACCTCAAAACTGTGACCTCACAGCTGGTTGATGACAGAGGGCTGGGGGCTGCCACAGGGTAAAGCCCTCGTTGGCAGTCTAGGAGCCGGTCTGGGGTAGATCCCTACTAGGGGAGCCCGGAGGTTCTGAGCAGAGATTAGGCATGATTTGTTGGGGGAAAGGAGAGGGCTTCCAGAAGGCTGCGTGAGCAGAAGTGGCAGATAGAACACAAAAGCAGGGAGCCCAAGGTCGATTGTGAGGACGCACCTCTTCCTGGTACTCTGGTGGCTGGGTGTCCTGGACAGGCATGGGGTAACTTGGCTCCTCCTCTCTGCAGCCATTGGCGGGGGTGCTGGGGGCCACGGCGGGTATGGAGGGCCCTGGAACCTCAGCAGGAACTGACGGTGGCTCCAGTGGGGCTGCAGGGCGGTTCGAGGTCCCTGGAGGACAAATATATAGCAATGTCAAGGAGGAATCAGGGTTGCTCCCAATGACAGGAGAGGCCTGGGTGTTCTTGGACCCACAGGTCCATGGCTATCAGCTCCCCACAGCTCCAAAAGGTGTCTTGATGTGGGATGCACTCCTCAGAGGAGACAAGCTTCACTGAGTGGGAGGGAGAGAGGAATTGGGGAGGACAAGGAGAGGCAGGAGTGGGGCAGGAGCGTGTGGGGCACCTCATGGGCCAGACTGGGTCAGCAGTCACCACTTCTCTGTCCCCAGGCATTCTGGGACCCAGTGGCTTTCTCCTCCTTGTGGGTGGCTGTCACCACCAACTGACCCCTGACCTGATGCTGCCTCCTCAGCCCCTCCCCTTTACCCCACCCCAGGCCCCCCCCCACAAATGAAGAGACACATTAGGAGGAAGGATAGGAGTAGGGAACGGAAAGGAAGGGAAAAAAAGGCAAACATGCGGATATTCTAAGGCTGTAAATCTGAGCAGGGTCTCAGGAGTTGCCTCTAGTCTGAAATATAAATAAGGCTGGCTTGAGTTTTCTTCCTGTCTTGGCCCCTCAGACCTGATGTCATCAAATCCCCTCTGGACACTTGGCAGGGAGCATTGAGAAGGAGCTGGGGAGTAACTGGGCCGCTGGGGGTGGGCAACCAAGAAGGTTCTAAGGGAAACCAGGGGGAGGCGAAGAGATGTGCGGAAAGGAAGGAAGGAACCCAAGAAGGAGAAAGAGAAGGCAGTGAAGAGAGGGGAGGAGAAGAGAGGAGTGGAGAGAGGGAAGGTGAGCTGAGAGAGAAGAGATAGGAGGAAGTGAGAAAGGGGTCAGTCAGAAAGGAGCCAAACGTCACAGCCACAGAAACTAGACGAAGCTCCATTTGCTGAGCACATGGGAGGTGCCCAGCGCCAGCTAAGCACTCAACATGCCACCGCCCCATGGTATCCACCGCAGCCCTACGACCTAGATGTTGCCATTAGCCCCATTTTACAGAGGAGAAGACTGAGGCTCAGGAAAATTAAGAGACTTGGCTAAAAGGACACAGCTAATAAGTGGCCTGGGATCTACACCCAGGCTTGTCCACTGCCCAGGAGTGATGGGAGGGAAAGTGACAGAGGTGACAGGGGTAAGGGGACAGGCAGAGCGGAGGCCAGGGGAATCAGAGAGGGGGTTCCAGGAGGAGGGCCGGGGCAGGAGGCTCACGGGGCAGGCTGCTATGGTAGACCCGGGCCACTTCATCAGCGAGACCAGACAGCTCACAGGCCCTCAGGGCCTCAATGAAGGAATGCACCCAGCCATTCCGCCGCCGAAGGCTGTTGAAGAGCTCCAAGAGGGTGTCCTGGTTCCCCCAGCGCTCATAGGTGGCCCGCAGTCGGTCCTGGAAGACAGGAAGACACACCCCACTGCCCGGCTCAAGCCAGACGGCCCTGCCTCCTTCCCCACTCAGCTTCCCCCACAGCTGCAGAGGGGTGCCCCGGAGAAAGCACGAGAGAGGCAGCCATCTGAAACTGGGTCGCAGTGCAGGACAAGGCCAGGGCTGAGCCTAAGTTTCAAGGTAGCTACCAGGAAACAGGCTCTTACTGTGTCCTAGGCTCTGCGCTCAGGACTTTGTGTGAATTATCTTATTTAACGCTATTATTACCCCACTCTACTGAGGAGAAAACTGAGGCTTAGCACATACAAACAACAACGAGAGAGTAGAAAACATTTACTGCAGAACGAGGGGACCAGGTATCATTACAAACCCCAAAATAGAAGAGGGAGGAGCCAAACCCCATCAGCCACAGACCTGAGCACTACTGGGATCTGCGTGGAGGAAGCAGAGAGCCGTGAGGTTCGATCTGAGAACTGCTAAAACTGAGCGGGGGTCTGGCCCACTTCACTAGGGGCCCACAGCAAGTTCTGAGGGGCTAGCGCAGTCTGGCTCTCATGAACTCTCAAAACGGGGTCCCATAACAAGGAGAATGGAATCAAAACTGAGCAGGAACAAGGACAAGAAAGATGAAGAAAAAGAAGGTTCTGATAAAAGTGGGCAAGGGGACCGGAGCCCGGAAATCTCAGAGAGCCAGCGCCATGTTTTTGAGCACTACACCAAAATGACACCAGAGGGAGCTCAGGGAAGCTGGAAAGGTCACCCTGAACCACACTTCATTCCAAAAGTTAGAAAATTGTCAAGGAGAGGGAGAAGGAAGGAGTTGGCCCTGGCTTGGGTAATGCTCTGAAGTCCATAGCCCTGCCTCCAGTCAGTGGCTGGCTGTCACGCCCTGGCTCACCTGGTCACTTGCTGTGAGGCAGGACAGGTAAGGCAGAATCTCCAGAACATGGATATTGCGAAAAGTGCTGTGATGGTGGCGGATATACTGAAAAGTCTTGTCCTCGGCAAATGTCATTTCTGTCCAGGTTCTGAAGTGACAGAGGGCTCTGGCCCGTGACGGGTGGATGGACTGCGAGAGAGGAAAAAAGATGAAAGAAAACAGCCCACACATGGCAACGGGGTTGGGCATGGAGTTGGAGAAAAGGCAATTCTTTCTTTCTCAACTCTTGGGAACTTTTGCTTTTGTCTTTAATCATCCTATTTTATAACTGCCTGAGTCCCAGAGGCCCTCTGTGAATTTGCTTACAAACAAATTGAGGAGCCAAAAATAATCAGATCCAGAAGATCCAGGGCCCATTTCTGCCCTGCAGTTTGGTCAGGGTTGGGGAGGGCTCTGGCTTCCCCCGCATCCTCCCCAGGTCTGTGTGTGCCCTAGCCAAAGACAACAAGAGGGCTCCACCTAGAAGGGCTGCTTCTTTGGGGTATACTGGAAGAAAAAGAAGATGACACCCAACATGATAATAACAGGATCCATCCTAATTTAAAGGTGAATAAAACGAAGTACCAACAAATTAAGGGGGCTTGCTAGTTAGTGGAAGAGCAAAGAACGGAGGTCTTCCAGATCCAGGATCATGTTCTTTGCAGAGCACGACCGCAGGTCCACTCTTAAAGCTTGCTATATACATGTTCTTAGGGCAGGAGGCTGAGTTCCACTCACTGTGTGAGCCGGGGCAAGTTACCAGTCTTTTCCAGGCTTTTCCTCACCCATAAAATGGCTCAGGGAGCTTGTTTTGACAATACAGTAGTTCAGCCTTATAAGCTTGAAATTTCAAAGTGCCTCGAATACAGGCCATCGCTGCTGGTTGCTTATGTAGCACTTACCACAATCTGCGATTATAGATGTGTTTGTTTCCTTGTTTCTTATTTGCCTCTCTCACTGGGGAGAGCTGCAGGGAATAAGACAGACAAGACCTCTGCCATCATCCAATTTATATTCTATTGGGGTGGGACAGATAACAAATCAGTAAACATATACATAAACAAGAATCCCAGATAGTAATCAAGGTCTACGGCCATGCTGAGGCCGCGTCCCACGTACAGCGACTGGAAGGATGTGCAGCTATGGCATACAACTATCTACTGGGGCTTTGGGGGAAAAAATAAATAAATAAAATTAAAAAAAAAAAAAAGGTTATAAAGAAACCAAAGCAGGGTAATGAGACAGAGCCCCTGGAGAAGGGCGTGCTGCTTGAACTGGGATGGTCAGGGAAACCTTTCTGCATTGGCAACATTTGAGCTGAGCTGTTCCTGGCTGTGAGAAGATCGGTGTTTCAGGAAGAGGCCACAGCAAGCGAGAAGTCCTACGGTGGAAATGAACTTGATATGTTTAAAGGTTAGAAAACAGGTCAGTGTGGTGGAGGTCTAGAAAGCTAGGGGGAGGGGTAGACATCAAGGTTAAGGAGGTTGGGAGGGGCCACTCACGTAGGGTGTTATAGGAAAGGACTTTGGTTTTATTTGGAGTACAAAAGAAAGCCATTGGAGGGATCTGAGCAGGGAAGGGAGAGGATTTGACTTATGTTAAAGACTTCTCTGGAGGCTGTAAGGACCCTGGACTGTGGAGGGGCCAGATGGAAGCAGGGAGACAAGTCAGGAGGCCAGGGCAGGGGACACACGACAGGTACAGGTACGGCTGAGATGGTAACCATGGCGAGAGGTGGTTGGATTCCTGGCATTTTGTGGATGTGGAGGTGAGGGAGAGAGAAGAATCAAGGGTGACTCCTCAGGCACTGGGTGGATGGTTGGTCCAAAGAATCTAGCAGAGGAGCAGTGGCACAGAGGGGACTCCAGAGTTCCATTTTGAACAAGTGAAGCTTGAGATGCTATTGGATGCCCCAGTGGGTTTTCAGGAAAGGAAGGGGCGGCAGAGGAGAGAGTGCCAGGCTGGAGTAGAAACATGGGTGTCAGGCTTGGGTGAAACCCCTAGGAGACAGTGCTGCAGAGCAGAGAGTGCCCAAAAGCTGCTGAGGCCACCAATCCCTCACCACATGGGAAATGGGGCAGCAGTCCTGTCTACCAGCATCACAGCCTCACATTGCATGACCCACTTTGCCAACCACCAGGAATGTATCGCAACATCCCTAATGGGGCAACTGCTAATGACAGAGGTCAGGAGGATGGTGGGGGCAGGGGTCCTTTGAGACTTCAGATGAGCAAAGAACAACTCTGTGGTGGCTAATAGACCCTTTTATCCTTCCCCCCATGGCATCCAGGGAGGTACCAAGAGAGAGTCGAGTGATACATTCTTCTGCATCCTAGCCTCAGCCCGTAAGGCACAGAATTTGGGGGGTATGGGGGTATGATGCGGTCCAACCAAAAAGAAAGGAAGCCCGGAGCTGTTCACATTTATTGAGGGTCCACTATAAGCAGGCACATCCTAAGTTTCTTTCACTTAATCCTTGGCACAATCCCATGAGAGGAGAAGTGATGCCACGTTGCACAGCTGACCAGTGGCCCTGACAGGACTTGGAACCCAGGACTTGCTGCCTCGTTGAGGCTCACCATACACACTGCAGGGCATAGACGCCCCTGCAGCAAGTATGAGTCACACAGCACCTGGCTTCAAGCCCTGGGAGGGGCCAAGGCCACTGCCTGGGTGAGGGTGCCCTTCAGAGGATGCAACATTTATTCCTTTCTCTCTCGTGGGAAATGGAAATCTTTCAGACAGGGCAGGACACTCTAACCCTGCCCGCCGCGGTTCCAAGGTCGCTGACTGTTCTTCCAGACGTTTTTGAGGCTCCACAGTATCCATACGGAGAACGTTGTTTTTGTTTTCCAATGTTTTCCTAGCACCGCCGTCGCGTCTCCGAGATGGCTGGCAGAGTGTTTTGGACCGACGCGGCAAGGAGAGTTTCCCACCTGACCGCCCCAGAGGCTCTGAGCGCGCTCCAGAAAGAAATACCCACCCCCGCGGGCGGGGCGAGGCCCCACAACCTCGGCTCCGATTCCTGGATTCCTGGGCCCGACCCAGCTTCGCGGAGGGCGGGGAGGCTGTTCTTCCGAGCAGGTGTCACCACCGAGAACTGTCAAGACCCAGAGGAAGGCGGCAGCTCCCGACCCCCAGGCGCGGCCGCGGCCCCAGAGGTTTGCGCACCCCGGCTAGGCCTCGCCCGGGGTCACCCTGGGCCTGCGGGCGGCTGGAGGAGCCCAGCAGCCGACGCCAGTCTCCTGGCCTAACCTCGCTGTATCCGGAGCAGAAGCCTCGCGCCACCCACCTCCCGACCCCGGTACCGGATGCTGCGCGTGGAGCCCTCGCTGCCTCAAGCCCCGTGTGCCTTAGGTCCCACTCTTCCCCAGCCCCTCCCGCCCTGCCCCCTCCCCGGCCCGCGCGCGCCCACACCACGTGCGCCCCGGCGGACTCCAAGTACCCCTCGGCTCCTGCCGCCACGGGCCACCTCCACCTCCCCGAAAGGCGTCCGTGCGCCCTGAGCCCAGAAGACCGAGCGCCCGGGGCGGCCAGCTTACCTCGGGTAGCCACGACCCGGCGACCGACCGCCGCTGACAGCCCGGAACCCTCCCCCACAGGGAGGGAGGGGTCGGGTCGGGGCCGCGCCGCGCGGCCATTGGCCAGGCGGCGGGGGCGGGGCTCGCGGCCCGCAGGAGCCTTGCGGCGCCCGGCGCTCGGCGGTGGTTTGAGAGCCTGGCCTCGCGGGACGGGCGCTCGGGATAGACCTGGGTTCCTGCGGGGGCACGGAGGAGCAGATTATTTTCTTTCCTTGTTTTGTCTCGAGCAACTTCCAGGGGAAGTCCAGGGTCTGGCTAGAAACCGAGTGGGCGGCCGATCTCGGAGTCGACGGCCACCTCGGTCTCCGCGCTTCCTACGCGAAGCAACCCCTCCTCCGCGGAGTAGTTTGAGGGAGTGAAGATCTTTATGTCGTTCGCTCCTGGGCGCCCAGGGCCTGGCACACAGTTAGTGCTCAGTAAACCTCGGGTGTCAAGCAAAGTGCACAGGGGCGCGAGTGCCCAGCCAGGCGAGGCACATGCTGGGCCTGAAGAAGCAGGATCGGGGCGGGGTAGGGGTGGGCCGGGTAAGTGGTGCGGGGCAGGGGCGCCAAGGTTGACTCGCCAGGCACGCTGGCTGTGGGCCCGGAGTGCTGTGTGGGAAAGGCCTCTCCACCTAAGGCAAGGGTCTGGGGCCAGTACCTCCCTGCACTGCTTGCCAACAGCCTCACCATTCCTCTGGGGCAGAGGTCAGCAATTACTGAGCGCTCACTATGTTCCAGGTACAGGCTTAAAGTCTTATATCTTAGGACCCATTAAATACTCTCACAATAACCAGGTAGAGGTTTATTTTTCCCGTTTTCAAGAGAGGTTAAAAAATTTGGGAAAATGGCAGTTCTTACTAAAGTTACATATATGCCAACCCTATCACCCAGCAACCACTCCTGAGTATGTGTCCACCTAGAAACACACACAATAGATAATGTTCATAGTGGCTTTATTTACAACAGGCAAACTCTGGAAACAACCAAATGTCCATCAGCAGGAGAATGGAGAAACAAACTGTGGTGTGCTGACACCATGGAATAGCATACAGCAGTGAAAAAGAACAAACTATTGATACACACAACATGGAAGAATCTTACCAGGATGAATGGGCACCATGACTAACCAAGCCAAGCACAAACAGTACCTGCTGTCTGTCCCCAGTTACAAGGTAAGATTCAAACACAGGCAAACCTCATCTACATAAATAGAAATCATTTCACTGGTTACCTCTGGGTGTTGAGGGGTGGGGTAGAAGGGAGCCTTCTAGGGGGATGGAAATGTTCTATATCTTGATGTGAGTGGTGGGTACATGGGCTTGGGCATATGTAAAAATGCATCAGCTTACACTTAAAATTGTTACCAAAAAAATTGTTACACTTTATACTGCAACTTAAAAAGGAAGAAAGAAAGACAAATGAGGGGTTAAGAGACTTGGCAGAGATCACGTGCAAATGCCTGAGTACATACCTGTCTCCAAAGCCAGCACTCCCAAACCAAATTGCAGGAAGATGCCTGAACTCTTTTCATGTGAGATTTTATTACTTTACTTGGTAACCCTGTGGCTATTTCACAATGTTCAGCATTTACAAAATATTAATATCACACCTGAACTCAACTAACCATAGGTTAGTTGGCCAGCTCTGTCTTGTTTAGCCAAGACAGGGTGAATGTTGATTGGTTCAAGAATTACTCCTGCCTGCTACCTACCCCAAATCCAGTGACCTCATATCTAATTCTTGCAGGAAGAACATTGGGAGTGTAGCGACTGGCTTCCAAATGCAGTTGTCACCCCTGTCTTTGCTGGAACTCGAAGGGTATTAAAAAAATACAGCTTCCTCAAAAACACAATACTTTCTTAGTCCATTTGGGCTGCTCTAACAAAAATACCATAGACTGAATGGCTTAAACAACAAACATTTATTTCTTGGTTCTGAAGGTTGGGAAGTCCAAGATCAAGGTGCCTGCAGATTCCATGTCTGATAAGGACCACTTCCTGGTTCATAGACGCAGTCTTCTCACTGTACCTCATATGGTGGAAGGAGCAGGGGAGCTCTTTCAGGTCTCATTTAAAAAAGCACTAATTCGGGGCCGGCCTGGTGGCGCAAGTGGTTAAGTGTGCACAATCCGCTGCGGCGGCCCGGGGTTCGCCAGTTTGGATCCTGGGAGCGCACTGACGCACTGCTTGGCGCGCCACCACGCTGTGGCGGCGTCCCATATAAAGTGGAGGAAGATGGGCACGGATGTTAGCCCAGGGCCAGTCTTCCTCGGCAAAAAAAAAAAAAAAAAAGAGGAGGATTGGCAGATATTAGCACAGGGCTGATCTCCTCACAAAAAAAAATAATAAAATAAAAATAAAATGAAATAAAAAAGCACTAATTCCATTCTTGAGGGCTTCACCCTTATGATCTAATCACCTCCCAAAGACCTCACCTCCAAATACCATCACATTAGGGATTAGGTTTCAATATAGGAATTGCGGGGGTGCATAAACATTCAGTCTATAGCAGATATCAACCAGTAGGATGGCTATTATAAAACAAACAAACAGAAAGTGTTGGCAAGGACATGAAGAAATTGGAACCCTTGTACATTGCTGGTGGGAATGTGAAATGGTGCAGCTGCTGTGGAAAATAGTATGGCGGTTCCTCAAAAAATTAAAAATAGAATTACTATATGATCCAACAATTCCACTTCTGGATACATACCCAAAGAAATGAAAGCAGGGACTCGAACAGATATCTGTACACCCGTCTTCATAGCAGCATTATTCACAATAGCCAAAAGGTAGAAGCAACCCAGATGTCTATTGATGAATGAATGGATAAACAAAATGTGGTATATTCATACAATAGAATACATTATTCAGCCTTAAAAAGGAAGGAAATTCTAACAAATGCTATAACATGGATGAACTCTGAAGACATCATGCTAAGTGAAATAAGCCAGTCACAAAAGGACAAATATTGTATGATTCCACTTCTATGAGGTATCTAGAGTAGTCAGATTCATAGAGACAGAAGGTAGAATGCTGGTTGCCAGGAGCTGGGGGCAATGGAGAATGGAGAGTTAGTGTCTACTGGATAGAGAGTTTCAGTTGGGGAAGATGAAAAAGTTCTGGAGATGGATGGTGGGGAAGGATGCACAACAATGTGAATGTACTTAATGCCACAGAACTGTACACTTAAAAATGGTTAAAACCGTAAATTTTATGTATATTTTGCCACAGTAAAAATCCTGGCCTCGGTGATTTCCTGCCACCTTTGTCAGGGAACCAAAGGAGGACACAACATCACATCTATAGTATTCTTGCTAAAACTCACAATTGGAGGCAAATCATGAAGAAACATCTAACAAATCCCAAATGAAGGACATTCAATAGCTGTCCTGTCCAATATAGCAGCCACTTGCCACATGTAGCTATTTTAATTAAAATTAAATAAAATGTAAAATTCAGTTCCTCAGCCTACAAACCACATTCCAAATGCTATTTTCATGTGGCTAATGGCTGTCATATTGGACAGCACAGATATAGATTTTATAATTTTCTATCATCCCAGAAAGTTCTACTGGACAGTTAAAGTTATATTGGACAGCACTGAACTGCAGAATAACTCTTCAAAAATGTCAAGGCCATGAAAGACAAGGAAAGACTGAGGAACTGTTCCAGATTAAAAGAGAATAAAGAGAGGTGACAACTGAAAGCAACATGGCACCGTGGGTTGGACCTGAAATAGAAAAAGAACATCAGGGGCCGGCCCCGTGGCGTAGCAGTTAAGAGCGCACGCTCCGCTGCTGGTGGCCCAGGGTTCAGATCCCGGACGCGCACTGACGCACCGCTTGTCAAGCCATGCTGTGGCGGCGCCCCATATAAAAAAGTAGAGGAAGACAGGCACAGATGTTAGCTCAGGGCCAGTCTTCCTCAGCAAAAAGAGGAGGACTGGCACGGATGTTAGCTCAGGGCTCATCTTCCTCACAAAGAAAAAAGAATAAAGAAAAAGAACAACAGTTGGACAAATGATGAAATCTTACTAAGGGCTTTTGGATTAGTTAATAATTTGTATCAGGGTTAGTTTTCTGGTTTTGATCATTGTACTGTGGTTATATAAGATGTAAACATTTGTATTATTTTTGCAACTGTTTTGTAAGTCTGAAATTATTTCAAGATGAAAATTAAAAAGTAAACTAAAATTTAAAAATCATCTTTTGACCCTTTCTGGCTATTTATATTATTTTATCTTTTATTGTTGATTGCATTCTGCCCTATTTCATGAGTAGAATTCATTGATCATTGTCCATTTACTAGTGAAAGGTGAGTCTAGAAAGTGATCTGTGCCCCAGCACCCCCCCCCAGTGAAGGCCTCAGAACCACCCCCCCCCACCCCGTAAAGCTCATCCCGGGGCAGGTGGCCCATATCCCCAGGCCAGTGCTCTACAGAGGGCTGTGGCTCACATGTAATGACTCAGCAACCACCAGCTCACGTTTCCCCCCAGAGAGTCAAGTCAGGCCCAAAGATAGTGCCAGAGGGCCCCAAAAAGGGACATGTTCTCAGTCTGAGTCCCTTCAGGGAACTCTCCAACATTGAAAAACAAAATATAATCCCTACCTTTACAACCTCATTTCAAATAAGTTTTTAAACTGTTATTCTTTAAATTATTTTATTTTTTCATACTGTCAATTTTTTTGGAGGGGGGGAGGAAGATTAGAGCCTGAGCTAACATCTGTGCCCACCTTCCTCTACTTTTTTTATATGTGGGACACCGCCACAGCATGGCTTGATAAGTGGTGCATAGGTCCGCACCTGGGATCCGAACCTGCGTAGCCTGGGCTGCCGAAGCAGAGTGCGGGAACTTAACCACTATGCCACTGGGCTGGTCCCCACACCATCAATTTTATTACAAAAAAGTTATATATGTTCAATAAAGCTGGGGAAAAATTAATATATGCATATATAGTTAATATGGGGAAAAACAGAAATGTTTGATGAAGAAAACCAAAATCTGTACTCATAATGCCACCAC